GACATAGAGACTACCTATTTTAAGATGCTGTCTTTTGAGCAAATCTACAGCTAAAATCTTCATTATCAAAAAATAATGGATTAGTGAACATTTTACAGTGCATTACCAGCAGTTGTGTTCATTCATAATGCCATGCCGTGTGACATAATGATAGCTCAGTTGTAGCAAACATTACTTTTTGCAGATCATAAGGCAAGAGGACAGTTAAAGCTGTGTTTTTTCTCCTGAAAAGGATGTGTAAGTGAAGAGTTGTGTCATTATCACAGATGGTATGCCACTTTTCTGTTGGGGTGGTGATTTAGTGGTCAGTGGTTTTGAGATCATGTGTTTAATTTAGTAACAGTAATTTACATTATGTCATGTCCCTCAAGTACAACAGAAACACAACAGTCAGACGCAAAGAATGCCTTGCTGTGGGAATGTTGTGGCCCTTTCTTCTGAAGATAAGACAGCTTAAAACATGAACTCTATATTTCATAACGCCAGTTGTACCATTTCAGAAGTGAGCTGTCGGGAGGAACAGCTATGTGGCTTAATAATAGTGAAATAAAACCTAGTTATGTTGTTTTATGTTGTTGGAAAAGTGCAACAGTGTTACCCTCCATGGCTGTGCATTTGTTCTCTTCTTCAGTCTGATATGCAATCTGATTATGGCTGCCTTGGTTTCTGAAACCAAATTTCAAATACATTTTAGGTATGCTTCAAAAGACCAAATTTGAATGCAACCACATATGAAGGAAAAAGTGTTTTAGGTGTTTTGAATTAACTCAAAGGCGGGGCAAAGAGTCTGCTGTCATGGAGAGGACACGACACGATTCCACGACATGAGGAAACGTAACGAGAGCGCACACGTGTGCTGGGTCAAAAACAAACTGAAGGCAAAAGTCAGACAAAAGATCTGCACACTGTACTGATAGATCCCAGGAAATTTAATTTAGCAGAGCAACCTTTCAATCTAACAGAGATCTTCGTCAGGGGTTGTCAAGTAACAAATTATAAAGTAGAGCTGGTAACACTTTCTGATACTCTCACATAGGGGATGAAGCATGCTTCTATTGAAAGGGTAAATACATAAAAAGACATTAAGATAATTACAAGAAAATATGAAAAATTCTGTCAAATCACATTAATCGTATATAGAAGAAACAACTGGAATAGACACTACTATATAGAAAATCACAGATAATAAGAAAGGAAGGCTGTGACATCACTGACCAAAGATCAAAACATCACTATCCTACTTGCTGATAAGGGAAGATGCACTGTAGTCCTAAACACCGCGAACTACCAGACCAGGATCAACATACTACTCACTGACATGAACACATATGAGACACTGAGGCGAGACCCCAGCAGCGGATACTAAAAAAAGGCCATAGAATATTTAGAACAACACCTCCAGAAAGAAAATATCATCACCCATGATGAACAATATTACCATTTGTATCCTGGAGAAGCCATTCCATGTATATACGGACTGCCCAAGAAACAAAGCTGTTTTCTAGCTTTTCAGCGTAGCTCCTCTTTGCTGCTATGACCTCTTTAGTCAGCGTGTCCCTGGCCTGGTTATACAGGACTCTGTTCCCACTTCTGAAGGCCTCCTCTTTGGTCTGATGAAGCTGCCTGAGTTTCGCTGTGAACCAGGGTTTTTGGTTGTTGTATGTGCAGAAGGTTTTAGTCGGCACACACATGTCCTCACAAAAACTGATGTAAGATGTCACAGTGTCAGTTCATCCATGTCAGTGGCTGCAGCCTCAAAAACACTCCAGTCAGTACAGTCAAAGCAGGCCTGTAAATCCACCTTTGACTTGCTGGTCCATCTTTTCACACTCTTTACAACAGGTTTAGCAGATTTCAATTTCTGCCTGTATGTTGGGATAAGATGAACCAGACAGTGATCAGAGAGTCCCAAGGCTGCACAGGGAACAGAGTGATAGGCGTCCTTTAATGTTGTGTAGCAGTGGTCCAGTATGTTAGTGTCCCTGGTGGGACACTTAATATACTGTCAGTACTTTTGAAGTTAACGGCTGAGGTTTTCTCTGTTAAAGTCCCCGAGAACAATGAGCAGGGAGTCTGGATGTTTTTTCTCCACATTAGTTATCTGGTCAGCCAGGTGTAGTAACGCCTCACTAACACAGGCCTGAGGTGGAATGTAAACGGTGACCAGAACAAACGATGAAAACCTCCGCCGTGAATAAAAAGGTTTACAGTTTATGAATGTCTCTAAGTGAGGGCTGCATGATTTCTTCAACACTGTGACATCTGTACACCAATCTTCGTTTATATAGAAACAGAGACCGCCTCCCCTTGTTTTTCCCGTGAGCTCCGTTACGTTATTAAATCCCGGTAGGTAAAGTGCACTGTTCGGGATGTGCTTGGTGAGCCAGGATTTGGTAAAACAGATCTGCAGAAGTCCGAGTTAGTTCTTTTGAGGAGCAGCAGTTTGTCCATTTTGTTGGCCAGAGAGCGGTGGATAGAAGGGAGCGCAGTGTGAGAACCCAGCTGTCTCAGTTTAACCAGTGCGCCAGCACTCTTCCCCCTTTGGCGTCTCCGGTATACTGTACAGAACTACTGCTCCTCAAACTAATAAATCCGAGAAAGTTCCAGGTTCAATAAAGAGTGGTGGAATAGTGTGAGCAGTTGTGTGACGAAGTGGGTTTGCTCACCACTTGTCCTATATAGGCCATTACCTTCTAGTTTATACATATAAGTGTTTATTTATTTTGTAATTTACCATAGCTTGTGTAAAAGTGCACCACTTACTATCCCCGGTTGTTTGTGTTTGCATTATGTTACAGTCGACAGCAAAGCATATGATAAGTTAGAGTAAACACACAGTCATAAGGAAGTTTCAGCTCCATTTTATTAGGTTGCAAGTTTAAACATGGTTTAATTGTTTTCCTGTGTTAATACTTACAATTGTTTGTTCCTTTGTTCAGTTCTACCATGCAGGAATATTGTTTGGGGAGGGGCCGGCCTAAGCATTTCCTGTTTTATAGGAATAGGTTGGTCATGGATGACTTCACAAGGGCCAAACCAAGAAGAGGGTTTTCTTTCTTTATAGGAAAGTATCTTTTGGTTGTTTTTGGTTATTATAAATAAATGTGTGAATAACCCTGACCTGTTTTCTAGTCACTCTGAGCAGAGTGAACTGGTAACTAAGTTCCAAATGTTAAGAGATTTCTAGGTATTAATGTTATGGAGTAGATCAACCTGCATCAGAATGGGATGGGCTGAAGCAGTTGGGTGTGAATTGACCACCCTATATAAACAGTGGGATTTGTTCTCCCAAGGGGGAAAGAGGTGAGGCTGTGCTGCCGTGAATGCGTGCCTTTTGTCAGTGTTGTTAAAAGTTTAATGTGTTATTTTTCTTAAGTATTTTTGTTTGTTTGATTGTTGAATTATCTGTGTACTGCAGACCACTGTAAATAAAATAATCACCTTTGCGAACATACGATGTTTGAGTCTGCCTACCTACCACCTTCCTAGCCACTCTGGCCAGGCTACACCACAAGTTGAAAGTCCAATATTTAAGAGCTCTTCTCTGGTAAGAAGCAGAAAGAGTCTATTAACAAAACACAAAAAGCACTACGGAGCGTAATCCAGAGGCAGCCGTCTGCGGCGCCATCTTGGTCGAACGAGAGGGTAGCCTGTGGATATCCTAAATGGAGTTTTTGTGAAAACAGCCACAAGATCCAAGAAAAACACCAACACTACAGGGTATGAAGAAAAGAAGAGTACACAAGAGAAGAGAATGCAACAACACTGTGATTCCACAAGTGTCTGGAGTATCAGAGAAACTCATGTGGATTTTCAACAAATGCCACATCCCTGTGTTTTTTAAACCTAAGAACACGCTAAAATAGATAATAGTCCACCCTAAAGACCGCATACCCAAACACACGGAAAGCAATCTAGTTTATGCTGTCCAATGCAGTGAGGAATGCACGGACAAGGATATTGGGGAAACTAAACATTTACACAAACACATGGCTCAACACAGAAAGGCCAGCTACTCAGTTCAGGTTTTACTTCATATGAAGGATAAAGGACCCTCTTTCATGTGGGTTGAGACACCGTCGCTTAACAGGGGAGCCACTTATCCATTACATTAATTCATTTAGCTGACGCTATTATCCAAAACGACTTACAATTGCTATATACGGCAGAGGGCGACAACTCTGGAGCAACTAGGGGTTAAGTGTCTTGCTCAGGGACACATTGGTGGATGTGTCACAGTGGAAATTAAACCCGGGTCTCTCACACCAAAGGCATATGTCTTATCCACTGTACATCATCACCACCCCCACTTATTACTTATTATCCCCCACTCACAATGCTGTCTTTTCATCTCTTCCAAGGAAACTTAACAAACGTTCACTTTTGGCCTCAAGTAAGAATGTCAATGATGGTTGTTCAGACTTGGCCTCGGGTGTCTCCAACGACCATAACAGCTTTCGTTACAAGGCCAGGAGCACTAACAAACCAGCGGTATTGATCATCTTGACAACGACCCCACAGAGGTTAAACAGCTGAGTTTCTATACCAGACAGTCAGAGCTGAAGAAGTCTCGAAACATCTTCAAGTATCTTCAACCAGCTCCAGTTGCAATTGATTTTAACCTTCCTTGGATAAGAGAGGATGAGATCCTTAACAGACCAATTTGAATAGAATTTGTATTAACCCATATACAGTATATTCCATCCATCCATCGTCAACCGCTTTTCCTGCGTACAGGGTCGCGGGGGAGCTGGAGCCAATCCCAGCTGACATCGGGCGCAAGGCGGGGTACACCCTGGATAGGTCGCCAGTCCATCACAGATATACAGTATATTGTTACAGGAAAATCAATCAAAAGTTCAAGCACTCACTGTAGATGATAAGGGTGTTCAGGATAAAAATATAAAATGCCTCTTTTTTCAGAAGGATGTTATTGATATCCCTTCTCTTTCTGGGGGTTTTCACACTTCCAATTCCTTTTCCTCATGCTGTAAACACAGATTACTGTGGTGACCAGCCAGCTAGGGCGGGGCATTGTTCACAAGTTGGAGATGGGCCTCAAAGATGCTGACCTGGTGCCTCTGAAGCGGCTCCTGGTGGTACAAATCTATGGAGTAGCAGAGTGGGGCCAGGAGAGCCCTTCACCTGAAGCCACGCACACTGAGACTGAAGGTAGTAAACAAAAACACAGTACATGCAGACGCAAACATATATGGTTACACACTGGAACACAAATGGACACATGATTATTAGATAAAGTGGTCTTGCAAGGTTGGTAAAACAAACACACACACACACACACACACAGCAAGGACAATAAATACCCACAGTCAAACAACTTGAAAGAAGTCTGCTATCTATTTCTTGAACCAACTTTCCTCCCCCTCACTTAATGATCTTCAATGGAGTTGTGTAGCGTTGACCCATTTATCACACAGCATGTTTCACTGCTTATATCTACAAACTGTTCTATCTACAGTCAACACTCCAGACACATGTCACAATTTATATAACTTGGCTACAATCCAAACATTTGTCAATCCTCTAATCAAGATTACTTTCATAATGATATGTCATTCTTTGTAATTACAAGAAGGTTCAAGTATTGTGGTCTGGATAAGTAGAGAGTAGAGTGTGGATTGGATAGAAATGAAGGAGAGGAGAGGAGACTAAGAAAAATAGAAACAAAAACTAAGAAAAATATTCAGGGACGAGAGAAAAAGTATAAGAGAGATGGATGTGGTACATACATGCAGGGAAGTCTTTCTTGTAAAAGTATTTTGGTAACATCTGAAATATTTATTCCATGGTGATAAATAGTTATCAGTGTCTCTATCGGCGGGGAAAGTGACAGGGCTGACTGCAACTTTGTTTTCTCAGAAGAATTTGATATGTTGCAAACTTGATGCTAATGATGTTGTGAGTTTTAACTCACCTGACAGAATTATGTCAGTTATGTAATCCGCCTTGTTTGTTGTCATCATTCCCACTCTGTATTTTTTACATAATCTCTAAACTACAATGTCCCACTTCTCCCAAATAAACGCCCTAGTCCCCTTGGAGTCAATCTTTGTTTGGTGAGGAGAAACGTCTTCAAGTGTCTTCAACTAAGTCCAGTTTAGCTTGATTTTAACCCACACTGGATAACTTTGACCTGGGTAACTTGGTTTGGAGTGGCCTTTCAAAAACAGAGACACAGCATCTTGTTCCTCTATTGTCAACCAAATTAAATGAAAGCATAGAACATGGATAAATGGCGTGGAGTATGGGATATTTTTGCCAGTAGAATCTGAATTTTAATTATTTAAATCTGAATTTTAATTGCTCAACTTGAATAATCGCATTAAAAAACTGAATTTGAATAAAATAGTTTGAATTTATATTGTTTAACTTGAATAATTTTATTGAAAAAATCAATCTGAATAGAATAATTTGAAATTGAATTTATTGGTTTGAAACTGAATTCCAATAAACTTGAAACTGAATGTAATATTATGAAACTCAATTCAGTTTCACCTGACACTGTATTTAAAACCTCACTAAAAATGAATTCTTTATGTAATGGACTACCCAAGATACACAAAGAAGGAGCCCCACTCAGGCCGATTATCAGCAGCATTAACTCGGTCACCTACAACATTGCCAAACACATTTCTACTATCTTAGCTCCTTTGGTGGGAAACACGCCTCACAACATCCAAAACTCCATTGACTTTGTGAACAAAGTTCGAGGACTAAAACTGGACCCAGATGAAACCATGGTATCCTATGACGTGACTTCTTTGTTCACCTGCATCCCCACTATAGAAGCAGTAGAAACCGTTAGGAAACGGCTAACACAAGACAACACCCTGGAAAATAGCACTAGACTCAGCCCTGACCAGATCTGTAAATTACTCGACCTCTGTCTAAACACCACCTATTTCCAGTACAACGGAGGATTCTACAGACAGAAGCATGGCTGTGCCATGGGCTCACCGGTATCCTCGATTGTGGCAAACATCTACATGGAAGAAGTGGAGAACAAAGCCCTCAACTCCTTCAGAGGAATATCACCGAGCCACTGGTACAAATATGTGGACGACACCTGGGTCAAAATTAAAAGCCAGGAAGTGAAACCCACACACACAGACCAATACCTGCTCTTCGATTCACACCACCCACTGGAGCACAAGCTAGGGGTCATGAGAACACTGCACCACAGAGCGGAAAACATACCAACAAGCGTCCAAGCCAGAGAGAAGGAACAGAACCACCTGAAGGGGGCACTTACAGCCTGTGGATACCCTAAATGGACCTTTGTGAAAACAGCCACAACATCCGAGAAGAACAAAACTACAGGGGAGGAGGAAAATAAGGTCAAACGCAACAACATTGTGATTCCATACGTGTCTGGAGTATCAGAGAACCTCAGGAGGATTTTCAACAAACATAACATCCCTGTGTTTTGACAGATGCTGGTACACCCCAAAGACCGCACACCCAAACACAAGAAAAGCAATCTACTGTATGCGGTCCAGTGCAGTGAGGAATGCACAGACCTTTATATTGGGGAGACTAAACAACCACTACACAAACGCATGGCTCAACAAGAAGGGCCAACTCAGGTCAAGACTCTGCAGTCTACTTACGTCTGAAGGACAGAGGACACTCGTTTGAGGACCACCAAGTGCACATTTTAGAGAAGCTAGATGGTTTGAAAGAGGTGTCGAGGAAGCCATCTACACCCGGGTTGAGAAGCCTTCATTGAACAGAGGAGGGGGTCTACGCCATCACTTATCCCCCACTTATGGTGCTTTCAGACCAAAAGCTTCAGAACGTTGTGTGGAGAGGGCCAGACAGAGCGGGCGATTGAAAATCTGCTGGCCGGCTGAGAGCTGCTAAACTTGGGCTAGAGGGGCAGGGAGCAGCGCTCCAGCTTTCAGACAGATAAACACCCGTGGTCGGACTGGACTTTGCTCACAACTACGCCGTTTGCTCGAGGGAGGAGCTCAGAATAAACTGCTTTTATTAAATAAGCTTTTTACTTTAGTTTATAGGATTACAATGTTGATTTATCTTCACTCGAGCTTCTCAGCAGCTAGATTCCGTGCACATCCGGTTCCAGTGTTGTTAGCGTCATTTGGCACTACTTCATATTTATATAAAAAACGGACAAAACTGGACATTGCTGGGAGAAAAGAAAGTGAGGAGTTTGAACTACCTGGTGAGTTAAGAAAACATGTGTATGTAACTTTAGTCCAGCTATCGTTGTACTTTACTGTGACCAAGTTAGCATAGCATAGCTCTGATCGATCCGAACTCCATTCAGAAAACAAACATTTTAGAAGTTGTTGTCCTGCTGTCTGGCTGACAGAGCATGAATTCATATGTTTAACAAAACTGCATCATGTTTTAGTTATTTCAGCATCAGTTTAATCCGTTTATTGCTATTTAATCACAGCAAAATGTTTACTTTGGGTTCATACAGCTGTAGTAATGGCGAGTTGTGTTTATTAAAATCGCCTTCTCGCGTTGTGTGTGTGAACACTTGCAGCGAATGTACTCACGCAAGGAAAGCGTCGCGAGGCGACAATTCGCATTTGGTCTAAATGCAGCATTACAATGCTGTCCTTACATCACTTCCCAGGAAACTCAACAAACGTAACCTATTGGCCTCAGGTGAAGATACCAACATTGGTCGTTCAGTCTTGGCCTCGGGTAGTCCTAATGACTGTAACGACGTTGCAGTCGTCCTGCAGCAGGGCTGGGATGTCGTTACAGCAATCAGGAACACTAACGAACCAGCAGTATCGACGATCCTGGCAAACGACCCCACTGAGGTTAAATAGCTGAGTTTCCCTACCAGTCAGTCAGAACTGAAGAAGTCCTTTGGATGAGGGACGAAACGTCTTCCAGTATCTTCAACCAAGTCCAGTTGCCCTTGACTTTAACCTTCGTTGGATAATTCTTTATGTACTTTCACTTTCAGTTCTCTCGATTCTTATTCACTTCTCTCATTTCAATTTCAATCCACAAGATTCAGTTTCAAGGTCAAAGACAGTTCTAGGTTGTTCAGGAAGAGCAATCGAGTGCAGATCAAGCCTGCATTCTTTTCAACAGCCAGCAGGGGGCAACTCCACTGCAAAACACTAAACACTTTTTAACTGACATCAGTTAAAAAACACTTTCAGTAAACACCTCTGTAAACACTTTCCTAATGCGTTTATGAACTTAATCGTCACTTTCAAGTCCTTTACTAATCAGTATGATGTTCAGTTCGTAATTTTGGTCCCATTTAGGGGAAAATAGCCGATAAAGCAGAGTATAGTTTTAGGTGGGGATACCTTATCGGTACTCAAGCTGAACAGCATCAGTTTCAGCATGGCAAAAGTCGCCATTCTCAGGATTGTATAAACTTATATAAGAAAAAGATTTACGTACAAGTGATAGGATGCCTGTTAGTTCTGGTGAATGTGGCACAGTTTATGTTATGTTTGCAGTAATGCTATAGTTTTGCTGGAATACCCATACCATGTGCAGTGAACTGAAGAGAATGCATTTACGGCCAGATTAACGGAAGCCCATCAGGACAAAGTGTTACCATGGAGCTATCTAGCTTGGTTTGCAAGGTGCATCCATAATTCATGTTAACTGTGATTTTAACCAAGAAGCTTATTTTGGCTTGCGAAAAACAAGAACAAGTTTTTTTCAATGGTGGTGGTTAAATTTAGAGTGCAGTAGATAGTAGACTGACAGGTCGCCATGGTATCTATTTGTTAATCACAAGGTAGCCTAACAGGCATTCTATCACTTGTATAGTTATAGTGTCTTGTTCTGTTTGTATGGTGTTATCATTTATATGGTTGAGAAATAGCCTAAACTTATTCTCTGGAATGTAATTTACCTACGGGTATAAATAAAGGAACCTGAACCTGAACCTGTATATACATCTATTTCTTAAATAAGTTTATACAAACCTGAGAATAATGCCTTTTGTCATGCTTCACCATGCTGAAAACTGATGGTGTTGAATACCCATAAGGTAGTCCCACCCTAAAGCATAACCTGCTTTATCAGCTATTGTCCTCTAAATCGGACCACAAATTTACTAAATGAACATCATGCTGCATTGAAAAGGACCCAAAACTGACTATTGAGATCACCTTGTAATTAAAGTGTTTACTGTGGTA